AAGGTATAAATGACATAGAAAGCGAGATGCTATATGCAATCCATCAGCTTTCCGAACCTCTGTATGAGGGAAATAATGAAACAATTATCAATGCACAAATTAAAAAATTCGGAGGCACTGGGGTATAATCCTGGACGGAGTACGATTCTGCGTCTCCAGTCTGCCAGACTGGTGGTCTGCCACTTGAGCTACCGGGCCTCCACGTAATAACTCCATTTGGAATTGCCAATAAACCTCGTTTAATATTCACGCCAATTTCCATTCATCTCGAGGAATTGTAATTTCGGAAGAAAACGAAAACCGAGAAAAAACTGATTTGGAAGCCCTGTTTGTTCCCAGAATTTTAAATTCACTGGAATGTCCAATGAGTTGTTTCCATAATTTACCAATGCATTGTTGAAATGATCATTACACTCCAACAGATCTTTGAAAATTAAAGTGAATCAAATGATGTATCAGTAATCTAACAAACTTCTGCTGAAGAGCAATATTCCCTTTTTCTATTAAATTATCTTTGCGTGTATAAAAAATTTTATCTACAAAAATGAGTAATAAAAATTCGTCTCTTAGATTCACCGATCCAATTGAAACTTTCCTAGGATCTCACACGTTTCATTCAATCAATTTTCAATACTTTATTGACATTGCTCCTATGAATATTCCTCGTCGTCTGTTTCGCCACAAATCAACAGTCTTGATTTGATTCTAGCCAAGTTGTAAATTTGACTAGTTTGATTATTCAAAATTATTTTGGGGGAAACGTGATACGCCGAATGGGTTCCTTGTATCACTTATGAGTTGACGATNGAATGGGTTCTTTGTATCACTTATGAGTTGACGATACTTAAGAGAGGGATCAACGAGATGAGGAAAGATCGAGAACAACTGGAAACGTTAATAAATATTGACACGCACACACGATTTAATATTTAACAAATTAACAGTTTATTTTGATTCCGGATACACTTGGATTTTGTTTCGATGTTTACACTTTTAAGTTTAGACGAATACTAAATTTTGTTGTAAGATTTTTGCTGGGAGAGAATCGCAAAGATAGAAGGGGAAGAGGGAGTAGGTTAAGGGGATTATCGATGAGAATGGAAATGTCATTGGTCGAAAACTTGAAGAGGAGGGAGAAAATTCGACTGGAGAAAATAGGATGATTTCTATTGGCTTTTGGGACTGGAAAAACCCAGGCCTTTGTTCGGGTCAGTTGAGGGACTGAGAGAGGCTCGGTCTGCCTGGAAGGAGGGGCACATCTGAAAGGGATTAAGACAATTTTGTGGATTAGGACAATGTTTATGGAGGTGAATTTTGAGGATGGCACAAAATTGCCGCCAATAATAATAAAGGAAGCAAACTAAAACGATTGAGAATTCGACGAGGCAGACGGATAAAAATAAAAGTATTTTTTATGAGGGAAACGAAATTTTCGAGGATTTGGGGAAGTTCGGGAAATTTCTGTTAATTGAGTTTTTACAACTGTTTCGAAGAAATTGTTATACGTTTTTGCCCCAAGACGCGCCAAGCAATAAATGAACGGAAAATTGAAAAGAATGAATGGCGCGTCGAGACGTGTGTGAGGTGAAGGGATGGCTATTTTCTACAATTATTAATTATAATATAAAACATATCAACTGCGTATGTTGTCACGCAACATCGTCAACTCTCAAAGTTTCCTTGAATGTTCTCACAAGAGAAAACACATGCAGTAAAAATGTCTTAGAATCATTTATCTGATGAAATTTTTTGGAAAGAGTGTCATAAAATAGAGCGTCTACCAAAAAAATCACTGTGCTAGCACGATGAAGTGGGTTCATTTGGAAGGACCCAAAAAAATTCCGGTGCCAACACCGAAATTTTGACTGAGCGCTACAGGAACTTTCATCAGCCTTACCTTGAAAAACTCCTGTATTTTGCACTAAAATTTCTGGTGCAGGCACAGTGATTTTTACGGCATTTTTTAGATTTTCAAATCTAGCGAATTTGCTAGACAATTCTATTCCATTCCTATTCAACTTTCTATTCGTTTTTGGCCGATTCTATTGAAGTATTCAATATAAAATTTTCTATAGAAGAAATCAATAGAATTCAATTTTTCTATACAACTTATTTTTTTAGGATATTTTCCATAGAATATATGAAAAATAATCCTCCCCTCTCCTTAAATTTCCGAAGTTTTTTCCATTCTAGTTCCTTTTTCGTTTAATCAAGGAAATTCATGGAAAAATTCAGTGAATTCGCCTGATTTTTTTTTACCATTTCTTTTCAACTTATATCGAAAATTCCATTGATTTCCCCTAATTGTATTGAAAAATTTTCAAGTTTCCTTTGGTGTTTGTTTCACAATGACAAATTCAATAGGAAATTTTTTATATGGAAAATCTTTACAATTTGATTCTTCCATACAACTTATTCGATTGAGATATTGTCTACGAGAATTACTGACTTTAAATTTCCTAATTTTTGTTGTTGAAATTTTTTGATGAAAAGAGGAAAAACGGGTAAAGAAAGATGGAGAATTCATGTCGAAACATTTCTATAGAAAAATTCTTGATGGCAAAATCAGCTACTATTTTTGTTATACAAAATAGTTTTTGAACCCTTCTCATCAAAAAACCCGCAGTCAAGCTGTAGAATTACTGAATGGAATTGACGAAAAATTCATATAATTTTCAAAAGTAGTTCAATGGGAATCCAATAGACTGTTCTGGCATATTCGCTTCGTTTCTTCTGTAAATTTTTTTTGTATATTAAGGGATATTTCTGGAGAGAAACCCTAGTGGAAAAACCTAAGGCAGAGGCGTAACATACCTGATCAGAATTTCGGATCGGACTTGATCAGTTTCTGATCGAGACCTGAACAGAATTTCCACTCGGGTATGAGTCAATTTGAGAGTGAAATTCGTAAGTGTCCTGGTAGCTCAGATGGTAAGAGCACCCCACGCGACATTGGGAGGTCCCGGGTTCGATTCCCGGCTAGGAAGTTACTAATTTTTTCTCTCAAAAAAATTAAATTTACTTAAGACCCGGGTGTAATAATTTTTCCCCCATTTTTCTAGGGACCCCACCCTAAAATTTCTAGGGGAAAATGTTGTTTACGCGTCCCGAAATTGTGGGTGTAATAATACACTAAACACTTTGATTCGTGAATAAAATAATAGATTATGACCGCCGATAAGTAATTAATTCGGTCTGAGGGGGGTAAAAGTCATGATAAAATGATAATTATTTAATAAAAAAATTTCACTAGATAGTCCCTATTCGATACGTTCACAAGACCAAAATGATGGTCGAATGACGCGTGTAAAAAAAGTAACAATTATAAATCCTATGAGCACTGCACCGCAATCACACCTAATGACCTACTTGTGAACCACAATTACACGCCGTATGAATATTTTTTCACCGCAATTACCCGAATAATACGGCCACAAATGCTGGACGCGTGCATGAACCGATGGCGTGTCAATACCGAGTATCGTTAGGGCCACTGGGATCTGAGAAATGGCGCCACTACCAACTCGGAGAATTTTTCTCAGGACTGTAAATAGTTTGGGGCTCTGCGGGTGCTATTGTATGGCGCCCTCATTCAAATATTCATTTTCATTGCGATTCGATTACGTATGAAGAAATTTCATACAAAAATCTAGCAAATTCGCAAGACAATTCGATTGGATATCAATTGAACTTTCTGTCAGTTGTTGGCCGATTCTATTGAAATTTTCAATAGAAAATGTTTTATATAAAAAATTAATAGAATTGAATTTTTCTATACAACTTATTCTATTGAGATGTTTTCTATAGAAGTTCCTCGGCTCACATTTTATAAATATTTTTGTTTCATTTTCTTCATAAAAAAAAATTAATTAAAAAAATGGAAAACTTGAGCCGCGGAAATTCTATTTCAAAAATCTCAATAGAATAAGCTGTATAGAAAAATCCAATTCTATTGGCTTTTTGTATACAACATTTTCTATTGAACATTTCAACAGAGTCGGCCAAAAACTAATAGAAAGTTGAAGAGAAATCCAATAGAATTGTTTACTATTGAAAAACGATTTTTAGATAAACGGCTCTATGCCATGATGTACTGAATCGATCGACCCAACATTTTGTACAGAAGTGAGACCCGATAATACTGACAAGTAGCCAAAATTTTATGGGGTTCATTCGAATTTATAATGAGATCAAAAAAATAGAGAAACGTGAATATCTCTGAAACTTTGTCTGGACGGTTCTTCATATTTTGATTCATCTCGATAGATGGCAGGAAGACAAGTATTTAGAAAAAAAAAAAGAAATCGGACCAGTATTTCAAGAGATGGAACAAAAAAGTTTTTCACTAAAAGTTGAATATCTTCTAAACCACCTGTTCCATTTCGCGTACTCACGAACTCACCCTGTAATATGATAAGAGCTACTATCTCACTACATTTCAATCTCCTATCTCGATATTTTCGGGAGTTATCGTGCGTACATCATTTTTATCATAAAAATGAAAAATGCCAATTATTATCAAATTGCCCATAGTTTTATAGGGATATTATGACTTGATTTGATAGATATTATCACAATGAATACTTTGATGTCAAAAAAAATCAATTAGGTCACGTAGTTTTTGAAATATTGAGGAAAAACTATTTTTGAAAAATTGCTGTATCTCAAAAACTACTTTACCGATAGGGCTCAAACTGCGCCCAAAGCTGCTCCGAAATGATCACAATTATGTGACATAATTTCAGATTTATAGCTGCAACGTTACTTGTCTTTTTGTTAAAATATTTAAAAAAATTTCGAAAAGTCTGCACACAAATACATACAAATTAAAAAAAAAATCTTTACCTTTGATGACATTCTACTATATTTCCACGCAAAATTAGAAGATCATAAAAATTACCGGTCACAAGGCTTTCATTCGGAAGCAAAAAGGGAATTTGGTAGGAAAATAGAACGCAGGATTCGTTGGAATTTTTTTTTTTATTTTCTCATTTTTCCAATTAAAATTCTACCCAACCACGTGGGCGGCTGCCTCCGCCGCCTCTTCCGCCCCTCCCACCGCGCCATCCCCTTCCGCCACGACTGCGTCCCCTGCCACGCCTTCCTCTTCCCCTTCTCTCCCTAGCCTGGCGAGCCAACCTGAGCTCCTCTAATATCATCCTCTGGAGGTCCTCATTACCCTCCCTCCCAGCTTGAGGATGAGGGATGTCCGCTGGGAGGGGAGGATTGACAGCTTGGTGCCCACGTCCTTCCTCTAGAAGGGCTCCCTCTCCCTCTTCATGCACTTGGAGAATCGACTGCCCAAACTGAAAAATAAATGCTTTTAGTGAGAAAATAGCATTCTTGTATTTTTGGCACTCAGTTCACAAGGCAATGTTTTACAGTCGTAAAACACTGTCTACTGACTGAATAACAAAAACTACTGTTCGGTACTCCCCCGAAAACAACGTTTTTGGCGATTATGTTTGTGACCCTCGGCTTCGCCATGGACTGCAAACTCACAATCGCCAGGAATTTTTTTCAATCTATTCATTAAAAATACTATGTCAATAGATATTTACATTGCGCTGATTTCGTCGAAGCCAGTCCTCCATGGCTGCCACAAGTGCGGGGTTGAGGACGGCTGGCTCGACATTGGCGTCATTCTCTCCCCCTTCTCCTGGCTGGTCCTGCTGGTGTTCGTCTGAAAAACAAAAGAAAGGCGATTAGACACAGCAAACCAATGTTGTAATGCTTATGTTTTCACTACAAAATCTCATTTGTCTCAATATAACCACTTTATACAAGAATTAACCCCAAAACACTGACCGGTGTAGGTTATCACTTATATTATTTTGCACTAATAACCTCATTTGTTTTGCGCACCCATTTTCCCTATCAATGCTCAGAATCTTCAATACTTACAACACTTTTTCATTTTCACTGTATTTAGCACATTATTTCACTATAGAATTTAATTACTTTGACACTATATTAACACTACAAAGCACGAAAAATACACCATTGTCAACAAGTACTTACCAGCCATTTTCACCGTGATACCGATAATGATGTGACCAATGGCGGAAATTTGGAGGGCTGCGCGTTGGTATCAATGCCTCCTCTCGAGAGGAAGTCACGGATTGATACACTAGCATCCTCTTTACATATGGGATTTAGATGCGTGAAGACATCTAATCACCATAATCTATGGCGTAAGGTGATTGCAATTTGCAAATCAACAAACGCATTTTCACCTCGAATCCCGGTTTTATTCGCGAGTGAAGTGAAATTTATTCTGAAATTCAGTGATCATGGGGAACAAAAAGCGCAACCAGAAGGGAAACGACAAAGATAAAGCGAAATTACACTTATCCGTGGCAAGGCATAAACCCGGCCCTAAAAAAAAGTAAGTGAGAATTCTTATCTTTTTGGCTATATACAGCTGTAGCATTTCACAAGTTTGGAGATCTGGGGACTCCAACGGTGTGATTCAACTTGATTGATGCATTTCACCTGTGCATGACATCTGCAATTCATAAAGAATATTTACCAGCCTATTCGAAGTTGAATCACAGCCTTGGAAGTCGCAGAGCGGTCCAACATTGGAAAATGCCATACGTGAAATCGGAGCATTTCCGCTGTCTCAACTGTCTGCTCTTCAAACTCATAAAGAACTCCTTTCCCCTACAGAATGTACATTCCACCTAGGCTTCATTTCTTGAGTAACTCATAGAGAACATTTTTCAATCTATGAAAAGAGGGGTATAGCGTAAGTTTGAAGAGTAGACAGTTGACATTGCCAAAAAGGCTCTAAATTCACCGGCGGCATTTCTCAATGTTGAGTCAGTGTGACCAAAGGACACCGTGGAATCCCTGCATTATCGGCCGGCTGTACGACTGGAGTTTTCCATGGTTTCCCTTGCAATCCTAGCCCCAATGGGGTACAGTTAACAGTAAGATGGCCCATGGTAACGCAGATAAACATCAGAAGAGAGAAGTGGGAGAGGCAAGGCAGATGAATGGGCAGCCTATAAAACCGTTATGGTAGTCGGAAAGAAAAATGATTAACAAATTAAATAAAAATTCGATCGTGAACTACAGATGTTAAATAATTCGTTGCGTGGTTGAGAGAAATTTGAATGCGCGTTTTGTATTTTGAAAAAAGTCAAAAATTCCGGATCACCTGATGGTCAGTCCCCCCTAAAGATTCAATTTTGATAGTTGACGCGTAAGAAAAAAAAAGGATAGGATTTTCTACATGATTTGCTATTGGGAGCTGATGGATGGGCGGAGCTTACGGTTTTGAGATAGTACTTTACATATAAGTTTATGGGGTGAATTTCATTTTGATACGAATTGAATGAAATTTATCTCATTTGGAAGCTACAAAAAAACTAATCTGGCAATGATTTATAATTTGTTAAATTTCACTCTGCCAATCTCGAGTTTTTGACTTTTGAAGACGGCTTAGTTTCTATTTCAGTCCCATTGAGCCGAGACGGTTGATATCTTTAAAGAAACCTAATCGGCTTCCTTGATACAGCCGTCAGATTTAACGTGGATACGTCTATGGACCGAAAATTAGAATTTTCTAATCACTTTGTACTATGAGAAATTGCTCTAAAAAGACTTAGTTGATTAAGAATGCTTTCTATTCCTTCGCTCTGTTGGATAAGTAGGAATCTACTTTGATGATTGACTATGCGACGGAGCCACTTGTTTGTACAGGGCGACAATTTTTCACTCGTGGCGATATCTGTAGATGGCGCTGACGCTCCCTCGAATTGAAACCCGCCAATCAGAGCCCACGGAAAATCGAGATAGTTCTCTGCACATGCGCACAACCTATTTGCGTAGAAAAACGTTCCACAATTTTGGAGTTTTCGGTTGTTGGGGGGTATATAAAGCGGTGGGCTGCCCCACAGCGCTCACTTTCGATCCAGAAAGCGACGAGGGAACAACCAGAAGCAGAGAGGCCGAGAAGCTGAGGAGCAGAGAAAGAAAAGCCAAGAAAGGAGAATGGAGAAGCTGAAAATCAATGGATCTCAGGAGATCTACGGAGGAATCACGGACTTCAAGGTCAGTTGAACCTTCGAGAGAGTTCCAGAGAGGTGAACTTCCTATGAGCACACCGCTTGACCATCTTGAGGCTAGACCCGAGGCAAATCATCGAGAGGTGTAAGTTCACTGGGTAACCGCATAGTTCGAAAGAACTTCCTCGCACCTCTCCACGGTTTAGCAGAGTGCAGATAAATCCCGATTTGGACTAGTGATTGTTAACCCGCTTCTCCAGGATACTTGAGAACTTTCAAGTCTCAAATCCATTGAAAACTCACATTCGCTGTAAATTTGGAAACTTAATTTCGCCAATAAAAAAATTCTCGCTGCAACCAAGAAACTCAATTCCGCTAAATAGTAAGGAAAACTCAATTTATGCTCGTAAGTATCGCCGATAGATGGCGTGGCTGCATAAGCATTTTTTCGCCGAGTGACCCCCCAACACGAAACCATAGACGTATCCACATCAAAATGATTCTTTTTCTCCCCACCAGATTCATACGCCCATCTATCAGTTCCCAATAGGAATTCGAGAATTTCCTACAATATGCTATATATAAAGGAAAAGCCATTTTCAAGGCGACAGATATATCAGCGCAGAGCCCAAACTACAAGAACTACAAGCATGAGTATTAGACAAATTATTCTCATTTCTATTATTACAATATATATCCTTGATATTTTCGCCGTTTCGTCGAAAGTTCGCAGGTTTTTTCAAATGTTGTGGAAAATTGGATAAATTTCTCGAGTCTTCGGCGAGACGTACGCGAAGGGTGGCTAGTTTCCTATATAATACTATACTATAGTCAATACTTCAGGAAATACTATAGGAAATGTGCAGATTCTGCATCTGTTCATTTCATCCATTGACTGAAGCCTCCCTAATTTTGGATTATCAACTAGGAGCAAAGCGGTTGCAAAGAAGTCTGCGAATATTTCTCAGGCAGACCCAGCCCACGACAATGTTGCCAATCCACCAGTGGGGCGCATGGCGACGCAGGGGCAGGTAAGTATGAACAATTCAGGTGATGATAATTGTAATAGGTCACGCCATCATTTATTGAGAGAAACGAGTAGGAATGAACAAGCAGTGCTTTCTACTGCTTCTAATTCCTCAGTTTCATCAACTGATTCACTAATTCGTGGTTCGTATACGCCGGGGCTTTGGAATATTCCTCTCATTCTGGATGATTCATCACACGAAATTGGAGATCATTGTTCGAACGGCCCACCAACATTCGTTCAACCGAATCAACAACTGAGCCGTAATTCATCAGTTTCATCAAACGGCTCTATTATTCGTCGCTTATACACACCTTCGCTCTGGAACATGCCTCTGACTGAATCCAACCCCGTCATCTGCGTGGATGAAGGTAGTGCTTCGAATAATCAGCGGCGATTGCAAGAAGATGATTCATCAGTTGATAATACATTGAAACCTCATGGTACAGCGGAGCAGAGAACGAATAGTGCACCACGAGAGAAGAGAGAAGACAACGATTTTGAGAGGAATAGACTCTCTCCGAAAAGTAATTCACCAAACGATTCTTCCCAAATTAACCTATCGCAACTCTCTTCTTTTACTCCTAATTCACACAGCACGAATTTCGATGTAGCATGGGCTAATGAGAACGGATATGTGGAGGATTTTTTTATGGATGTCGATAATGATGACAATATAATAAGAGAAAATCACATTCGTCGAGGACCAACAGCAGTAGCAGTGAATAACAGGGAGATCAATAGGAACACTTCACACATAGAAACATCAAATTCTTCTTGTGAAATTAGACTACCTGAGCCGACAATGGCTGGAAACATGCAAATTTCAGGAATTGTAACAAAGATGGACACACGTTGTTCACAAATGACAACCAGTTCCTTTGATTCGCAATGCAATAGCATAAATTCAGAAACGGCACAGGCTAACGAGGAGGCCATCATGGAGGACGTATTGCGAACTGTGGTGAATGATGAGCATCAAATTGAAAATTGGTTGCATTGTCGAGCCTCAACATCTAAGGCCGCCAACAGAATGAACAAACATCGCTCAGAAATGACTGACAGTTCCTTTGACAGTTCCTTCCAAGTGCAATAGCATGAGTTCAGAAACGGCACGGGCTAGTAAGGAAGCCATCATGGAGGACGTGCTGCGAACTGTGGTGAATGATGAGCCCCAAATTGAAAATTGGTTGCATGGTCGATTGCCATTATCAAATCATACTTCGGATGACTCCAGGGCGAACCACGATGGACTGATGGAAGTTGGACTGTTTATGGAAATTGATGACATGTCTTACCCAAAATCAAAAGAAACCTTGTATGAAGAAATGCTTCAGAAAGCTGATTCCATTGGTACGTCAACGAATATTGACGCAAAATCGGAAAGTGTACGAGGTGTGGTGACTGAAGATGATGCGATTATGCAGATCCGTCCTAGAACTGAAGCGACGTTACCAAAAATTAATGATGGTTTAAACGATCACGACTATACACTGATGACAACAGCGTCCCATTCTCAGTCTCATAATGAAAGTAGGAGTCAGCAATCCAACAGTACTAACTCCGATGGTGTGTGGGCCCGAGAAGAAGGTATAACTGAAGAAAACCTGCTCATAAATATGGAAGATACCATACCTCAGAAATCCCAAGGATTAAACATTTCGGCATACTCACCAAGGTCACAATCTCCTAATCGTATTGTCCATTCTACAGAGATAACTGAAGAGCAGGGAAATGATAATAACGATGATGATGATTTTAGTGACGATGAATGGATGAATGATTTCATAGATGATGATTGGCTCGACGATTCAATCGAAGATGAAATGCTTCTAGAAGATGGTAGATCCAGCCCACACGACAATGATAGAAAGCACTTGAAGCATGGTGATCATCATGGTAGAACCAATAACTTTCCCAAAGCAAATAATGCTGATGATGTTAATTTTCTAGATGATGAAATCGTTTCCGCTGAAGAGCATCCTGATACTCAAATAAATCATTTATCAGAGGATACAGATGATGAATATTCAGACAACGAAGAGGATGAAGTGAACCATCAGATGGATAATGAGGAAACAGAAGGGAACGATTATCCACTTCAGGGAGAAAATGGACCAAGTGAGCCTCACAAAAATACTCAATCCAAGAAACCAAAAAGAAAAGCATCAGAATTCGATGCGGAATCACGCAGCATCGTCAAATTCACCCATATCTTCAGACAGCTTCAAAAGCTCTTCATCAACGGTATTCATAGACCGGAAATAGGATGTACCATCAATGACCTAGTGCTCATTGAACAAGTCCTTCATGGGTTGAAAACACAATTTGTGTTCAAGTGCACCATGTGCAATCGACGAGAACACATTTGGTCAGAAGTGGAGGACGAGAATTCCCTCGATGTGAATCGATGTGCTGTCCTTGGAATTGCTGCAATAGGCAAAGGACAAGCTGGCTTGGAAGAGTTCACAGCTAATATGAGCCTCCATTATCTGAACAAGAAAATGTATAAACAATTGAGTGAAGAAATGAATGAGAACTTCATAGAGATCGCGGAAGAACATATGAAACAGAATGCTCGTGAAGAATGCCGTATAGCTATGGAGATAAATTCTGTTATCAATGGTATTCCCACAGGTCGAATGATATCAGATGGGACTTGGCCTGTCCGATCATATAATAAAGGAGGTCGCTCAGAGTCTGGAATGGCTGTAGGGATCGGGGCACGGACCAAGAGAGTAATATTTGCAGGTGTCAAGAATCGTTACTGTTATATATGCAGAGTCGCTGAGAATGCAGGAAAAGCAATTCCAGATCACAAATGCTGGGCCAACTATCCAAAAGACAAGAGTATCCTGGGCGTTGAAAGCACTGTGATTGTAGAAGAATTCAAGACAAGTATCGATAAGCATAATTTGATATACTCACATCTGATAGGAGACGGCGATAGCAACTCCTATAATAAGGTTCTTGAAGCCAATCCTTACCCAGATCATACTTGCATGGAGAAATGTGAATGCCAATTACATTTACAACGTTGTAGAAACCGAGAAATTATAGCCATTACCAGGAGTATCAAACCAGGACGATCTGTGGAGTTGCAGGAGTTGAAGAAACTTCTTTATGAGAGTATTGCCCAAATTGACAGGGACGTCACCAGTGCTTCCAGGTATTGGAAAAGGCAGGAAATACGTGATGAGGAAAAGATACCCAACTTGCACAAAGATCTTATGAATTTGATGTATCATATTTTTGGAGACCACACGAATTGTGCTCAATATTTTTGTGATGGAGAAAGTAGGCTCAATGAGCATAATTGGATTCCTCTACTTGAAGAATGTGGTATCTTGCAGCAGCTGCAATCAGTAATGCAAAAATGGAGTGATAACGCCTCCCATCTATTGGTGGGAGAAACGTCAAATTTAGCTGAGGCTTTTAATTCTGTATTGGCTAAATACATTTACGAAAAAGGCGTCAATGTTCAGCAAAGAGGCCTTCATAACGCTCGTACTGCAATAGCTGTTATACANCAATCAGTAATGCAAAAATGGAGTGATAACGCCTCCCATCTATTGGTGGGAGAAACGTCAAATTTAGCTGAGGCTTTTAATTCTGTATTGGCTAAATACATTTACGAAAAAGGCGTCAATGTTCAGCAAAGAGGCCTTTATAACGCTCGTACTGCAATGGCTGTTATACAATTCGATGACCAAAATGTCGCCAGCACATATCACAGAGAAACAGGCGCAATTCCCCCTTTGGAACTCATCGAAATGGAAGCACGGAGGCAAACGAAGAACATATATAACAGGAAGTACAAAAAGACTAAGAAGTTCCCCGACTTAGTATCAGTTGAAACCGAAAATATGAGGGAATCAGCTGATTACGGTTTACATCCGGCAAAACCAGATATGTCTCCACAACAATATCAAGAGGCGGAGAAACAGCACAAGGACACCTTGTATCAATGGCAAGCGAATCGAGACAAGAAAGAAGAAGAAACGCGAGGAAATGAAGGAAATAAATATCTGCTAAGGAAAAAATTGCTCCTGGCTAATCATTTTTCACAAATCTGTCGCTTGAAGAAGACCACACCAACAGCCAAAACGGTTAAGAGTATTCTGTATCCACCCGTGACCGTGGCGGCTACTAAGAACTACGAGCGCAAATGCAAAAATCGAATAAAACAACAATACAGTGGATTACAAGAATGTGGAATCATAATTGATGATGAAATCCCTTCTCTTGCAGCGCAACCAGATGGTTTGTTGGGCAATGACGCAATCCTAATTGTTCATTGTCCCTACAATCTTCGTGATAAGACAATTGAAGAAGCATCCAATGATTCGAAACTATTGAAATCGCTCAAGCAAATATTCAACTACGAAGAGTCAATAGTTTCAGGTTTGAATCCAAATAGTCCTTTGTATTATCAGATTATTGGCAGTCTTGCGATTACAAAACGAAAAGTATGCAGATTTGTATTAGCAACAAACATGGATGAAGTGGCTCTGACAATTGACTACACACAGGAAAGATTCTGGTCACAACATATGGTACCTAAACTCAAAGAATTCTATAACAAGTTTATGGTCCCTGAAATAGTCGACAGTAGACATGCCAGGTCTATGCCATTGCGCGATAACATTCGATCCAAAGACCCTACTGACAATCAATTAATAGAAAGGGGTAACTCAATAATTCCTTGTGAGAATTCATCCAGTAGATTGGAATCAACAATTATTTCTAGTGATGTTCCTGTGTTTAACAACGCAGACGTAGTCAATGATGTCGATCCTAATGAATTCGTCTTCAATAACCTCAGTGACAAAGATTTGGGAGCGATATTTGATGACGAAGAAGGCGAATTAGAAGTTGGTCACATGGACGTATTTGGAAACATGATGATGGAAGCCACCAATCAATTGTATACATATCAATCGCCTCTATTATATCGCAAGTTGTCAACAATACGACCGATAGATCCGAACTGTGAACACATTCAAATTTTGTATCGACCAGGTCATTGGGTCATTACGATACACGACAACTATATATTTATGATACATACTGGGTCAACGGCCAGCGCCCAAGTGTTGAACCTTTCTTACCTTATCTGAGACGTTTGCTTCCATTTTATCAATTCGAAGAGAAGCCAGTCATCTTTCCACGCGTACAACAACAGACAAATAGCATAGATTGTGGAGTATTTGCTATTGCAATTGCAGTGAGTTTGTTACATGGTCTCGATCCATCACAGATTACTTATGAAACGTCACAAATTATGCGCTTCCATTTATATGAAATGTACACATATCGTAATCTCAATCATTTTCCAATATTAGAGGATAAATGTAGCATTACAATCCCAAATTTGCCTGAAGTTCTTGAAAATAAAACAATCGCATATCTTGACCGATTGGAGCGATAGCTACAGTAATTTTTTAGCACTTATCTGTCCATAAAGTTGACTAGTTTGTTATATCGTAAAAAGAAGATGAAATTTAGCCACCGATACATCCGTTGTAGCAATAATAATGCCAGTCAAATTGACGAGACTGATAGATGCACATTGCACCCATGATAAAATCCGCACTAACACTCTGGTTAGATTGATAATGAAACTCAAAGTATAAATTGCAAGCTGAATTCATTAAAGAATGACGGTGGAACACGCTCTGAAAAAGGCAATAAAATGGAATAAAAAATGCATTTATGAGACACATTGTTGCCAAAAGTCTCATAATCCCTGGGTTCAGGACAGTTCATAGTTCCACTGTAAAAAGCCAGAGTGTTGTATGCAAACCATGAGCAACAGGTAAAGATTGCTGTGATAAATATCCACCAGGAGCTATTTTAAAAGGCAAGTCCCCCCCTTTACAAGAAGTGAAAGCTGATATAAACCCAGGGTCGTCAATTTGGAAAGCTCCACCTACAGCAATTCGAGTATAAATAATAATATGAAGGAAAAATATAATCATGGCTTCAATAAAATAGGTGGATAAAAAAAACCTGTTGAGAACTCAATCGAATTCAGCATGAGAAAGCAAAAATGAACTGTCTGAAAAGTATAATATATTTGTAACTTACGGAGATAAAATGAAGGAGTCGTGCCTAAGTGCGAAATTACCAGCCGAGCCGAAGGCGAACGTGGTAAGCACGTGAGTAAGGGTCCTTTTTTTTTATCTCCAGTAGTTAGAATGGTATTTTTTGCCTCGGCGTAGGCGGAAAGTGAAATTTCACTCTCAAGAAGCAGGAGAGAAATGTGTACTTTGCGCTCACGGGGGCGAAAAATAATTATAAGGGGGCGGACAATGAAGCTATGAAGAAATATGAGTGCACGATTGTTGCGTGCGTTGTCAATACGTCTATCAGTCAGTCCCTTTCGACAATTCAGAAGTTATTATAATAGTGGCAATGACAAAATTATTGCTGTTGGATATCATGACGTAGAACTTATTGAATGCTCCCAAGAAATCAATTGTCATCATATGAAGAACTCAGGAATTCATGAAAATGTAATAAACGGGTGGTAGTGCAAACGCTAGATATTTTATCCCAATCCCTTATACCAACGAAATTATCGGCTTTATGCAAAATTTTCGATGTTAATATATAGCCATAATGTACTCAGAGATTGCGCCATAACGTTACAAATTCGTTGACGATTGCGATCATAATGGAAGAGAGTAAGAAGAAAATAATAATAATAATGATAATAATAATAATAAAGGTATAGAAAATGTACAAACCGAAAAATGACGAATTTGTAAATTTATGGACGCAATCGCGAAGGTAATGAGAACAATTATGGAGTAGTGGAAAACAAAATGAAGGATCACGATAAACAAAAATGAGAGAAATCAAATAGATAGAAACAAATCAAGAACGATCCAAAAAATACAGACAACAGAATAAGTGTTATTGCACTACTCTTTTCCACTGCCATAAGCTTATGAGCTTATATAACTCTCTACTCTCTGAAGTTATGATCGCAATCAATCTTGTTCGAATCCCTTCCTCTTCGTTTTTTTTTATGTAGTAATTTTATTCATTCATATTGCAGGTTGCTAAAACGTTCACCGATAATTTACATTCGGTGGCATCGACGTTTCAATATGGTGAGGAACGTCCCCTATTGGTGGCCTCAGTGGGAGCCTGAGCCATGTATCCCTTATGCTTCAATTCCCGAGCCACAGAACGATGGGCGGAGCTTGGCTGCGAATTGGGTGGAGTTCTTCTTACCGGAAGCAGGATTTCTTAGGCGAAAATTGAAAACAATTTCATCTTTTTCAAATATACCTAGACACTTCCAATTGAACTTTCCGATTTAGGGTTTACGAACCGATTATGATTGATGTATTGAAGGAAACTATTTATGTAATAAAGATCAAAGTAGTGAAATATATATAAATATATTGTATGTCTCATTTCCTTCCAAATAGCCCCCCAGGAATCTCTCTAAATTATGTTCCTGTCTCATTGTTAAAAATTGCCTAATATTCACCATGAGCTCCCCCCCTTTCTAGAATTTGGTAAAGCTTCAAATCTTTTTTATGTTTTTTGCAAGGGGGTGAAAATACCTCGGAAGGGATGAAATCAAGAACATAATTATTGACCATTCAGGAATATTTTTTATTCATTTCAGGACAGTAAGAATACTTCAGGAAACGGCAAAAGAAAAGATAAACAGATCTCGTCTGGTCTTTTGATTTTTACTTCGGAACAGCAGATTGGTGAACGTCATTTTTTTTCGATTATTGCATTGTGTGCGGAAATGATTCAATGATTCACGCCATAACAAATGGGGATTTCAAATACATATTTTTTCACAAATATGATTTTTAGCGTAAAGTGTGTGTGTGTGTGCGCCTGTGTATATGTGTGCACCCGCGTGTGTATGTATACGTGTGTATACGTGTGTGAATGTGTGTGTGTGTGTGTGCCGAAAAGTATCAAAAAACGCATCAAAAATGACATGCGCGGCTTTCTCTTCCAAAAAAGGTCTTTTAGGACTTACGGCTCTTTGATTCGAAGGCGACGATATGAGGTATCAACCGGGATTCCTAAGAAGAAAAGCCCCCTTTTGATATAACACAATTATTGAGAACAATGCCACTTACGACCTTTTNAAAAGCGCCCTTTTGATATAAAACAATTATTGAGAACAATGCCACTTACGACCTTTTCATTTCCTCAGACTGCTATACACTCTCGAATGACCTCTATGTAACTTTCATATGACATTGATAACTCCCATATGACCATTATATGATCCTATCAAACTTTCCCATGACTTACATTTGACTGGCGTTCATTTCATCTCGTCATAATTTTTCCTGTCTATTTAGCACCTCGATATATATATATATATCGAGGTGCTAAATATAAGAGGTGTATATATATATATTTATACCTCTCTATCATTGTTTATAAATCTTTTTTTTTATGCATGTGATGATTTTTGCGGGAGAAAAAATTAGGCCGCCTGATTTGATCCCCTACATACGGACCTGTTCGATTACCATTATTAGTCAATCGCGCAGTTACCGACGGCGCAACTAGGGATTTTTTAATTCCTAATGCAACCGCCAAACATGATGGCGTTAAATCGCTCAAGGGGGAAAAAATTATTACACCCGGGCCTTAATGAT